AGAACGTATGAAACTGCTAGTGGTTCTGTACCAGAGGGTACTAATGAAGAACCGAGACGCAGTAAAAGGGTAAAAACGGCTAAAACGTTTGGACCTGATTTTATTACGTACATGTTGGACGATGAACCGAGTTCCCTTAAGGAAGCTCTGTCTAGCCCAGATGAACCACTCTGGGAAGAAGCTGTAAATAGCGAAATTGAGTCCATTATGCAAAATCATACTTGGGAGTTGGTTGATCTCCTTGATGGTTGTAAACCTTTAGGATGCAAATGGATCCTAAAGAAAAAATATAAAGCTGATGGATCGATTGATAAGTTTAAAGCACGTTTGGTGGCCAAAGGCTTTAAACAAAAGGAAGGGTATGATTTCTTTGATACCTATTCACCTGTTACGCGTTTAGCGTCGATAAGAGTGCTTCTCTCGATTGCTGCTTTGCAAAATCTTGAGATTCACCAAATGGATGTGAAGACGGCATTTTTGAATGGTGAATTGGAAGAAGAAATATACATGGAACAACCTGAAGGGTTTGTTGCACCTGGACAAGAGAGAAAGGTGTGTAGATTGATCAAATCCTTGTACGGACTAAAACAAGCTCCGAAACAATGGCATTTGAAATTTGATGACGTGATGTTGACAAATGATTTCAAAATCAACGAATGTGATAAATGTGTTTATATCAAGGGTACATCAAATACATTTGTGATTGTATGTCTACATGTAGACGATATGTTGATCATGGGGAGTAGCCATGAAGTGATCATGGATACAAAAAGAATGTTGAAAAGAAATTTCGACATGAAAGATATGGGTTTGGCTGATGTTATTCTTGGAATAAGATTTATCAGAACCCAAGATGGAATTGTCTTGTCACAATCTCATTATGTAGAGAAAGTGCTCAAGAAATTTGATACCTATGACGGTGCACAGTCTAGGTGTAAGACACCCCTTGATCTCAGTATAAATTTGAAAGTCAACAAAGGTCAACCAGTGGCTCAGTTGGAATATTCACGGATAATAGGGAGTCTGATGTACTTGACGAATTGTACACGACCAGACTTGGCCTATCCGGTGAATAAGTTGAGCAGATTTACGAGCAATCCCAGTCAAGAGCACTGGAATGCTTTAAGAAGGGTACTTAAGTACTTGAGGTACACCCTTGAATACGGGCTAAAATACTCGACATATCCAGCGGTACTTGAAGGGTACTGTGATGCAAGCTGGATATCAGATTCGAGAGATTCTCGCTCCACTAGCTGATATGTTTTATGTATTGGAGGAGGTGCAGTTTCGTGGAAATCCACAAAACAAACGTGTATAGCTCG